TTATTACACAATCTAAATTGACCAATACGTTGAACCCCAAAACAAAATTTAAGTCAGCAACCATTTAAGAGTGAAGTCCCTGAATGAATATTAATTTACAAACTTCCCATTTTCTGGTGGTTCTTATCTCAAAATGCTGGCTTTCATACAAATGCTGATAAAGCCATCACTAGAAGCCATCACTAGAACAGTCTGTGTATTTAGGATATTAGGTTTTTTCTGTTTCCTATGGCTGGTCCTTCCTGGTATCTTTATTGCCCAGGGATTTAATCATTTAAAAGCATTTAAAAATGTTCTGGGGAAGTTAACATTCTGAGTTCTTAAATTGCTTTTTACATCATGAATTTATTCATTGTATGTGTGCATGTGTATCCCATGGCATGCATTTGATGACCAGAGGCAAGTTGCATGTGGTCAGAGGATAACTCTCAGGATATGTTTCTCTCCCTTCACTCTGCAGAGCCCTGGGGACTGAACTAATTATATTTGGTGACGTGTTGTCTCCATTGCTCAATATTCTCATTTTGTCCATGAGGAGTGGATGCTAAATGAATCCTCTGAACACAGGTCATTGGAACAGAGGGCAGGAAGTACTGAGCGAGCACGGAACCCATGGTGGTTCAGCATCCAGGAGAAGCCCAAAGAAGGTAAAGGATCTAGAGAGAGGATGTAAACCTTGACACAGAGACATGCAGAATCCATAGGTTCTCTAACTCCCATGAGCTGGTAGCTTCAGGGTGACCTAGTGATTAAGACATGCCCATGTGTCTGAAAATACACACATACACACATGTTGCTGTCATGGGGTACCATCCTGAGAAGGTCTCACTACATGTGGTGCTTTGATAGAAATGTTCTCAGTTTCATTTCTTTGGAGCTATAACAAATAGCACTGTGCTGTCCTAGCCAACATCTACCATGTGGCCCAGTGTAGCCCTGGGGAAAGCTCATTGAAGAGCATATCTGGTAAGGTTTGAAATGGTTGGGGCCTGCTAAATAGGACTAGGGGATTAGGCATGACTGAACAAATGCACACAGAGACAAGGTCACAAAAAAAGAGCAGTTCTGTTTAGTGGAAAGTCCAGAAGCACTTTCTGTTCAGTGGGTTTGTTGTCCTGTCACTTTGTGTGGGCTTTTTCAAGAAATCTGGGATTCAGAGGAACAGAAGAGTTACATGCTAGCTTGTCCTGGGGTTGGGGAAATGACCAATGTGTGCCAAGTAAGCTGATTTTCTTATGCTACTGAGCAGGGAAAGAGAGCTAGTCCAGTCAGCTCGTATTCCAAGCTATTCTCAGTGACTTTCGGGGAAGCATCGCACACAAGGGAAAGCCTGAGCTTCTCTTAGTCTTTGCTCTCTGCAAGCTGAAAAGACAGCTAAGCTCAGGGAAGGAGGGGCGAATATCCATTTTAGTATTACCAACCAATCCTGCAATAGTATTTAGCCCCTCTGATTCATTTTGACAAATGTGTGTATATATGGTTTTGTTGTTGATTGGTTGTGTGTGTATATATACTAATTTGTTGTTGATTGATTGTGTGTGTGTGTTTTTGTGTATGTGTGTGTGTGTGTGTGTGATTTTTTTTATTTTATGTTTTTATTCTCTTATGGTGGGTACTTGGTTGTTATCTAAAATTTTTGTAATTTTTGAGATTATGGTGTAATTGCATCATTTTTTAAAAAGTGAATAGAAAGACAGATATTACACTGTCCTATGTAGAATATGAAACAGACAAATCAAAAGACACAATGTTAGAAGCACCAGCGGGAAATGGAGATACTTGGGAAGACACCTCCTTGGATAGATAAGCAAGATTGCTCTGCAAGTGTGAGGGTCTTCATCCAAACCCCCAGCACCTACATAAAACGTTAGACATGGTTTTGTGCACCTGGCCCAGTGTGCTATCAGGAATGGAGACATGAGATTTAATAACTCAGGCTTGCTAGCCAATAGCCAAACTCCTGGCTCAGTGAGAGATCCTGTCTCAAGTGAATAAGGTGGAGAGAGTTATGGGACAGGATATCTGATCCATTTCTCTGGCCCTCATGGATACCTGTACCCATGCACACAAGTGCACATATAGCCGGGCGGTGGTGGCGTACGCCTTTAATCCCAGCACTTGGGAGGCAGAGACAGGCGGATTTCTGAGTTCGAGGCCAGCCTGGTCTACAGAGTGAGTTCCAGGACAGCCAGGGTGACACAGAGAAACCCTGTCTCGAAAAACAAAACAACAACAAAAAAAACCAAACAAGTGCACATATAAGCATACATGTATACACACACAAGACCAACGGTTAAAAGGGGAAAGATGATCAGAGCATGTTGCATGCACACATGGAAGTGTAACAATGTTACAGTGCTGTTCAGTGTTTTGTATAATTTATGAATAGTAACAAACTGACACAGCAGTCACGAAAGAGGATATAAAGCTAATTATGCTTTCGGTTTTTGTTGTCAATAAGTGAATAAAAATATAATTGACAGTGAACGTCTAAGACCCTAAGAGAAGCCTGGAGCTTCAGAATGGCCATTCTGACAGCGAGAGGTTCAGTGACATGTATGGATTTGGGAATGGGCAAGGGCTTAATCAGCATCATTAATCTGGCTGTGTGATGTTTTCATTTGTGACTTAATTAGAGTCCAGTGAGTTTATTCTAAAAACTTAATAGCCAGGCACAGCAGCACTTGCTTGTAATCTCAGCACTTAGGAAACAGAAGCAGGGGGCTGGCAATTTGCAGCCAGTCTGGGCAATAGCTTAATGTCTGTGCTGTCAGTCAAGGCCCTGCCTCAAAAACTCAATTAAAAATTTAAAACAAAGAAAAAGAAAAACATGTATAAATCAGAAAGGAGAATTTGTCCCTCAGTAGACAAACACTTTAAACGATATGCAGCCTCACTCAATCATCAATGCTAGAAGTGGAGTTAAGACACAGCAGTTAGGACAACTTGATGCTCTTCCAAGGGCTGAGGTTCAGTTCCTAGCACCCACATGGTGGTTCTTAACCCCTGTGACCCCAATTTTAGGAAATCTGATACCCACTTCTGGTTTCCTTCAGCACTATACACATACACTATACACTTAACTAAATGCAGGCAAACCATTCATACCCATGAAATATAAAAATAAAAATTCTTAAGCCATCAGTATGCTACCCTTTAAAGGGGGGAAGATTTAAACACAAAATGTTTTTAAATCTAAACTAGGAGGCAGATGACTTCACCTGCATGCATAAAATGATGGTGTGACTCCAGTGGAGTCCCTATAAGGCTGGGCTCCTGGACAGTCATTCAGACGCAACTACCTCCTTGCACTTGGAACTTGCCTCTTAAAGTTTTCAAGTATTACTCTCTGTTAATGCCCTGCCCTTTCACAGATCAGTCAAAACAAAGGCAATCACAAAGATTCGCTTCATTGTTGCAGACACCGAAATTTGCTAGAAACAGTCAGATGTTTTGCCATTGTCTGCGAAGTTCCTTTATATAAAATTTCCTGTGTCCTCATTTTAAAATTTAGAGCCCAATTTGGTTGCACCAATCAATTGTTAGAGTGAGCATCTTCTAAAAATAAGGCAAGTGGTTCCCTATCTGTTAATTTACTGAATCACTATCAACTGAGGATTGTCAGGATGGAGTCCAGCTCTCACTACAGGGCCAATGTTAGGTGGGATCGACTCTCTGCATTTTTCTCAGTGACACAGAAATGCAAGAGAACCCTGATCCTCGTCAACCACTTTTACAAAGCTCAAATTCTAGCCAAAAATCGTGGTGTGTGTGTGTTGTGTGTGTGGTGTGTGTGTGTGTGTGTGTGTGTTTGTGTGTGTGTGTATGCACACATGCACATTCACTTATTTTCCTCTTGAGGTTGGTAATGCACTCTTAGGCCAAAATATTATATTTTCAATAGTTATAATCAGAAAAAAAAACAAGTGTGCATACATTATGTTCTCAAATAATCAAGAATCATGTTGAATTTAAATCAGATTAAGAATTCTCAGGACCACCTAGGGAAATCTATTTAGTACCTGATTCAGGGCAGTAGTCAGGCATCTATTTAGATAGATAGCTGAAGATAGACAGATAGATAGATAGATAGATAGATAGATAGATAGATAGATAGAGATATGGATACACAGTATATGCTTGCTTTCTTTATATACAAACATACATAATATATGTTTAAAGTATAGACACATATGTATGTATGTGCATGTGCATGCATGTGTATTTGAATTCAAAGATCATTTCCACAAAATTCGAGGTGGAATTTTACTGGTCCCTGGGTGAGTGCCCATACAGGAGCACCTCCTGGGAAATGGAGCATACTCTACCTCTGGTTTGAAAAGCAAGAGTGGGTTTGGCAGTACTGAGACACAGGAAGCCCTGAAGAAACAAAAGGCAGGTCTGTCTCTATTCTAGACACTGCAAATGTCAGACATCTCACAGCTATCTCAGCATCTGATGGCCCAGAAGGTTCTTCCAAACTGTGGATGACAGCAACAATGATCATATAACACCTTCGGAGTGCCTCAAGTGCAAAGTTCACTAGTTCTAAGGTCACCGATTTAATGCAACAGCCAAGTTCCATTCACATCAACAGACACTATCTGAGAAAGACAGCTGTAGGATCCGAGCAAGGATTTAAAGCCTGCCACAACTAGTGAGATCAGTGTTGGATTCTAAAGGGCTTAACATCTAAACATAAAATGCAGGGACCAAATAAAACAGAAATTCTCTGGACATGCGATTAGTGCCCAAAGCATCATTACTGTTCAGCTCTGGGGCTGAGAGTTTTACAGCATCTTAAGGAGGGAGAAACTGCTAACACATCATGAGATACACCATGAGGTCATTGAAATATCTGTCTTCCTTCGCTGTCATTTACATAGACCTGGGATTTAGAGACAGCTTCAGCTTCTCTGGCTAGGTGCCATTTCAAGGAAAAGACAGGAAGACAGATCTCCGTGTTTAACCAAATGTTAAATATTTTTTATTTTACTCACCTGCACACTGAGATGAATCCATTTCTTCATAAGAATTCTCCCTGGTGTCATTACTTTTATTGGAGGCTGCAAACCATTTACTGTGTGATAATAAAACATGGTCTCTTTCTCAGATATTGTAACTTTGAACACAATCTTTCCATCCACTGTCTTTTCTATCACACACCTAAGGAAGCAACCAGAAAAGACAGAAAAGGTCAGCATCCAAGCAAAACGACAAGCTGTGGTATTGCCTTGTTAAAGTGACCCCAGACCCACCCAAAATGGTGTGCTATGAGTAAGTGACTGAATCTCATTACACTACTAGAAACGATTATTCCAACAGAAGTCATTTTACTTCAGAAAAAAATGGAATTCTTATTTACAATATTTTCCCCAGAGTCTCAACATCCTTCATTAGAGATTCATGATGGAAAGTAAAGTAGTTGCATCCTACTGGAAAACTAACATTTAGGCTACTGGCCCATTAGTTTCCTGCTATTCCTTTTATAGGAAGTGGTAGGACACACCACGTCCCACATGGGTATTGAGTCACCAGGGCAAATCTTCCTTCTTCTTTTAATGTCAAATGAATTTGGAGTCGATGGAAGGCTCTGAGTTATTAGCCCTGAAGTCAAAATTGCTCTATTTGATTCCTGGGATGAAACAGAGCCGGAACAACCACTATCTCTTCCTCTTTATCATGCACTGGCCAGAAGCCAAAAACATTGTGTGCAAGATGGCCACCTTCCGTGACCACAGTCCAGCTGAGACACTGACATGGTGCAGTGATTCCAGATGAAGGCATTCTCTCCAAGAATAAGATTAAGTAGGATTTTGATGACATAAAACAACTTTTAGGAAGGACCTAAGTCTTGAGTCACACTTATGCTACTTTAGAGACTGGGTTTTGTTATACAGCCCCAGCTGGTTTTGATCTTGTAGGCTTTCTGGCCCAACCTCCTGGGTGCTGAGGTGATGGGTGAGTGACACACTTCTTGACTGGAATTCTTTTTCAAAGGTCACTTCTCTACAGATTGTCTGGTATGCCTTTCAGATCCCAGGGCTCCTCCCTGACCGGACTGCCATCTTCTCAGGCCAGGCATTTCCACATACATCACTGATCACAAAACCCTCTTCTCAGGTCAAAGACTTTTAAGCATTGTGTTTCTTCCTGTTCACTAAACATACTTTGCCATTTAAGTAGGAAGGAGACTCCTTCCATCAGAGCACCCAGGTTCTGAGGACTGAAGGATATAAGAGATACTACAGACCCCACACACACACACACACACACACATCGGCCAAAAAAGAAGTAATCAAAATCAGTCAGGAGAATCCTAGAGGCAAAAGTAACATTGGGACACCCAAGAATTGCTATAAAAGATGTTTCAAAATTATCCTCACACGGAGGATTTTAAAACCTTGCTTCACTTTCATCTATATTTGTCCCAAGTTGGAAAACAGAGTAAGATGCAGGGCACTGGCCTCTCCATTATTGACACTAACTTACTATTCTTTTTGTCTGCATTTGGTAAGATATGAAATAAGGCATTTTTAATTAGGGCAAATAATTTTAGATAAAAGGTTTTAGAATACATACATACATACATACATACATACATACATACATACACTCTACTGCAGGCTATTTTTAATGCTTCGGTAATTGAATATTTGTGATTTACTGACATGAAAAAAAAACCTGCCATTATCCTGTTTCTCTGGGCCTTTAGTCTAAGAGTTTTTCTTTGTTCATTTGTCTTGAGTATAAAATCTACAAGTGAGAATTCAATCATTACACAGGAATGTATTTACCAAATGCAGACTTATTTCCCCAAGCTTGCTGAAAATGCTTTTCTTAATATGTTATTGATTATCTCCCTTGCTATTTTGTTTGCTTGTAAACACTCTAGCTTCGGTAGATAATAAATGTGAGACGGAGGCAGGTAGTAAAATATTTAGGAACTGGATTTATTCTGCTCCTGAATACACAGTAATTGGATAATCCATGTTTTGTTTGTTTTACTTATCTGGAGCAAACACCCCCAAATTCCCCCAATTCCCATAGGTACTTTAGCGTCAAGAATGAAATGACCTTGATATAAGCAACAGACCCCCCCCAAACTATAAACCTCATGCCAGCACCCCTAGGAATGGCCCCTTTATCTTATCATGAGGAAAGGAGGCCAACGGAAGGGGCGTTAGGTACAGAGATGTCTTTGCAAACCTGAAAAGGTGTTTTCAGAATCTGGATGCTGATGGCATGACAAGTGCTTCAATTTACTGACATTTCCAACAGTAAAATAGCAAAGTCATTTTTTTTTTTTTTGGTGAGGGAGGGGTGAGTGATTTAAACAGAGATAATGGCCTGCAATTATTTTAACTCCACACTTAAAACAAATGTAAAAGTAAAATGATGAGCCTTCCCTTGGCAGACGAAATGCAAGTACCTAAGATGTTTAAGTCACATTTGCTCGTGAGATGACAAGATTTTTCGTTGTTTCATAGGTTCTAAGATACTGCCCTAACACAGTCCTACAAAGCAAATGTCCCAAGGGCATGTGCCCAACACTACTAAGAGACAAAAGATGGGGTGGGAGTTACTAGAACGCGCATCACAAGAAAATGGCCAAAACAAACACAGATTAATGGGAGCCAGAGAAAGATTCAAAGGCGAAGAGTGTTTGATGCTCATGCAAGGGACCTGTGTGCACTTCCCAAAACCCATGTCTGGTGGCTTGTTAGGACCCACTGCGGCAGCTCCACAGTCCCCAAAGCCCTCTCTGGCCTCTATAGGCACCACACACACACAGACACACACACACACACACAATCATATACATAGCAAAATTTAAAAAGTAAATTAAATAAAGATCAGTCAAAATGTTGCTGATGTTTCTAAACAAGCCTTGTATTACTTAGGGGACTATAGCCAACTGTCACTGAGAGAAAAGAAGAAGGAAAAGAGAAGAAGGAAAAGTTTGTGACTACACAAACCAAAGTTGGTTACACGGAAGCTTTCTTCCTTATCATGTCCAGAGCATCCTTAACAGATTCAACAGCAGGGCAGCTCTTGGGAACTTCTCATGCTTACCTAATGTCCTAACAAATCTGAGGACTGGAACACCCCCCTGGGTCAGAGACTGCGTTGTGCAGGAGGTGGGGTGCTCTCCACATGTTCCACTGTAATACTCAACGTCTTCCATTCATCACGTAAAATGTTTATTGAGAGAAGAAAGACAAGCAAAACAGCCCTAGGTCTTCAGAAAGCTACCTGCCTAGTCAAAACTTTTATTTTCTAGTAGGGACAGTTTGTATCTAGAAGCCTCAAGCAAGACTTCAAACATAACAATTATTTCTGTTACTGGCACCTGTGCCTGCAAACTTGCCTGGCCTCCAAAGACTAGGACCAAAAGTTCAGCTAGTCTATGAGAAATAAAAGAATGAATAATAAATGACTCTGCCATCATTGATATTTATCAATATATAATTCCATTGTGTGTTATATTATATGTAACTGTTATAAATAATATAAATTGCATATGTACTTGACCTATGTTCAGATATAGTGCCCCCAGTGCAACTATTTCAACACTTTCGTTTTCCACTTCTATTTCCAATGGATTTGTTAACATTTCAGGAAACAATACTCAGATTACAGAGCCGGAAAAGGAAAGGCTAGCATAGCAAGCAGCTGGTCTTCAACTGTAGGCCCCCGCAGCTGCATAGCTGCACTGTTACCTAACTTCCTAGATCAGAGCTCAGTTTGCAACAATTTTCACAACTTCCCATTTCACAGGGGTTCTAGGTCAACGGAAAACCGGAAACAGAGCTGTTGTTACTCACATCGTGCCTTCTTGCTCAGGCTTCAACCATACCGCTAAGGTAAATTCTGCTGCCAGCCTCGGAGCACGTAGAGAGGGGCAGTTCTTGTGACTTCCGAATATGAAGCTCATGGAGTGGAATCTGGAGTAAGGGTGGAGATCAGTGTTGTCTATGGGGATGCAGCTCCGGAGGCCTTCCAGGAGGGCAGTATAGGGAGGAGAGGCAGAGCGGTAGGGGCAGTCCTGGATACACAGCCTCTCGGTACACAATTGTACACGCTCCGCAGCCACTGTGCTAAGACAAAAGGTGCTGGGGCCTGGGAATCCACATGTGGCGTGGGTCGGCACAGTGGATACCTTCTTGAAAGCACCCACGTTCTCCAGCCTTGGGAAAATGCCCTGCGAGGCAGCCAACAACACTGAGGCCAAATAGGCAAGGATTAATGTTTTAATGGCATGACACAGGAAGTTCGGTGCAAGAGCCAGGTAATACATGATTACAAAAAAGTAGTCTTCACCTGGTGAAGCATTTCTAAATTAATATCCAGGTTTGCTCTGTTCACCAGAAACACTGGAAAGGCTGGGCCCATGAGTACTGAGATTCTCCATCTTCAGGAGACTGCAAACACACTTTCACAGGGAAGGAAGAGCAAAGACGTCCTTAGAGAGAAACATGAGTGGAAGCTGGTGCCTGGTGAATAACACACAAGAAATCAAGAGGTTATTCTGAGCATGAAGATTTTATGCCCCTTATGAAAACAATGGCGAACTTCTCAGAGTCCATTCTGAACCACACAACTTAGAGTCAAAAAATATGATCAAGATCTTAACATTATTGAACAAACCACGATCATCAATCTATAGGACAATCAGTTTATGTATTTATATATGATTGTGAATTGTAGAGGCTTAGAGCTACTTGGAGCTGTTACTTGACCCCAGAGAATTGGCACCACCCACTCTAATTAATGCAGTAAAGCATCCTTTAGCTCTTTTCACGAACACCATATGTTGTGACCAGAGCTAACTTGCATCTGCCCAAAGTGGAGCTAGCTAAGCACTCTAGGCCTTTCCCCTCATCCCAGCCTGCACAGCTACTTTAAGCTCACAGCAAAGCTGATTAGAAACTCAATACCATCTGCTTGCCCTGTGCCTTAATATTTATCAACCATTTGTGTTAATGTTTCCGCATATGACTCTGTATTTGGAGGTTAAATATGGATTCCTAATACCATGTAAGTAATTGTATTGATAAATAAGCCGTGTTACCATTTCTTTATTGCATTTCAACCAGTCCTCTCAGTGTGAGAAATAGCTCCTGGACAGGACCTCTGTCCCATGTTGCCTGGCAACCCTGCTGTAACCCCCCTCCCCATTACTTCTAGAAAATAGGCCCCAGCAACAGGAAGGCCCCCCGAGTAAGACTTGGCACTCAGGTTACTATTCCCCACAGCTCAAAAGGTTACCTGTAGCTCAGTGCAGGCTGCTTGGTGGCCCCTCAGCAACTGAGCTGTCCCAGCTTTCAAGCTGGTACCTTAGTCAGTGGGAGGGAGTCAGGTGGGGCATGCATGCTTAATTTTTAAAGTAGCAGTACACCTTATCCTATAATATCCTGCCAGGCCCCTCCTCTTTCTTGCTTTTATGGAGCTCACTCTGTGCGATGCTTTAATTACAAAGACCTGATTCTATAATACAGCAACTGCATGGGTAGTTCTACATGTTCTCTCTTAGGGAGGAAGGAGCCAGCATGAGGCTGGCCAGTCGATGGAAGTTTCTGTTTGTCTTTATTCACCTCAGGACATTCTGCTCTAACTGTGCTTGACTACTTTAGGCAAGATACACTTTGTACTTCTAAACACTGGGTTTGTAAAACACAGACTCTAAACCAACCAGAGAAGCAAGGGGACGGACGGGACTACTGAATTGTAGTCACCTAACTGCAAGCTCATGCCTGAGTTTGTATGCACATGTCAGCCACCGTGTTTGTCGACTTCTTAATACATCCAAAACTGTTGTTTCTGTCCTCTGGATTACACCGTACTACATTTAAAATATTCAACAGTCTTTGTAGCCTGTCAGTCTCATCTTTTAAAAAATGTGAGATGGTCTGGAGAGCAAAGAGTCAATTTGTTCCCTGTAAACTTTTATAGTTACAAAAATCTTGAGAAGTAGATGCTTCTAAGTTGTTTCTCATTAAAAGGCAACTAGAGAAAAATCCTGTTTCTCTTTTTCCTGCTTGTTTTTCATCCCCCCTCCCCCATGAGAACATTGAGATTATGTCACCTTTGGTCAAAATTCCATTCTTGGCTCACTGCTTTATTTAGATGGAAAAAATTAAAAACAAAATGAGTGTAAAAGCACTATAATTATAAAGACACTTTGATTTATAAGGACTTAGGTAGATTTTGGAAAATAAGTCTTAAAAATGACACAGTACACAGTGCAGTAAACTAACATATCATTGGGAACGGCTATAGAGTGTGCCATCAGCTGGTTTCCAGGCAAACCCAGTGAGCGAAGGCTAGTGTCTCCAAGTCCGATGACCTGGGTTTCATCCTGAGTGAACAGACCATAAAAGGAAGGAAAGAACAGGCTCCTGGAAGTTACCCTCACACACACACACATACACACACACACACACACCCCAGCAGCAGCAGCAGCATGCAGCATGCATATGCACACAAACTGAAACATACAAACATGAGTAAAGCAATAATATTAAATATACAGTAAGTGTAGTGGTGGTTAAGGGAAGGGATCCCCTGCTGCAGCCTCGGCAGCCTCTTCCACACTCACACAGACAGCAAGGGCTTAGCAGCTCTGCTCCACAGGGAGGCACTCTGCTTGTCATTTGTAAAGGCAGACAATGAAGTGACATGCTCATTGTCTCAGTTTTACAGGTTAGTATAATCACTCCTGTGCTGTGCCCCAAGTGAATTACACACCGATAGTTTTACCTTTCTGTAAGTGCCTGAGAAATAAATATGAAAAAGAATAGAGAAAGGAGAGAGGCTCTGTGTGCACAGAAAACGCAGGCAGGCATGAGTAGTCCTCTACCAGCTTTCTGTCTGTTTCTGGCTCACTCTACCCTGGACCAGCATGAGTGGACTAGCCAGCAGAGAGCTTGATGACAACCAGATTGACAGCTACTGAACACTGCTTTCAGCTCATTCCAATAATGGTAGAAAAATTCCCATTAATGTAATATACAGGTTCTCTCCTGGCCTCTGCCTGCATCTGACGTACAAATGTTCCAGTGATCAGAGCAGGCTCATGGCCCAAAGATTTTGGGGTGAACTCCTCAACGTGGGATGGCAAAGTCGCCTCTCAGAAAGCACACATAGCAGGAAGGGGGAAAATGTGTGACCGTTGTGGGCATGCTCCCACTTGTTTTTCTTAATGTGGAGACAGTGTCATGACAATCATTTTTTGTTGACATATTACTGAAAATTGTGGCTCACTTATATAACTCTGAAGAAATTTCCCCATATATAAGAAGACAGGGAAGAGCTTAGATTTCAGGTGCCACACAGTTAGCTCTTGCTCGTGAATGAAATTTACCCCCAAATTGGGTTTGGAGTAAACCATTGACTCACCATAGGCTAGAATCTCTAGAGCACTGTTGGTCCCAACAGGTTGGCAAATATTTTAAAGATAGTATCAACATCCTAGCCATGGATGAGCCAAGCATTGGAGTAGGTTGGGGATCTCTATGGAAGAATTAGGGGAAGGACTGAAGGAGCTGAAGGGAATGGCAACCCCACAGGAAGATCAACAGTATCAACAAACCTGGACCCCTGGGAGCTCCCAGAGACTAAGACACCATCCAAAGAGCATACATGGGCTGATTTGAGGCCCCAGCACATATGTAGCAGAGGATTGACTGCCTTGTCTGGCCCTAGTGGGAGAGGATGTACCTAATCCTGTAGATACTTGATGTCCCAGGGAGGGGGGATTCCTGGGGAGGGTACCTTCTCAGATGCAAAGGGGAGGGAGAGGGGGAAAAAGAACTCTGCAAGGGGAGACTGGGAGGGGGAGCAACATTTAGGATATAAGTAAATAAAATAATTAATAATAATAAATAAATAATACAAATTAGTAGTTTAAAGTTAGAAGTGTGACTCCTACTATTCGCCACTGTAAAGGAAAGATGAATGCATCATTAGGAATGCCAGTCACAGAGAGAGTCAGTTGTCCTGGCACACCCAGCTGTTGGCTGCACTTTTTTGGGATAGGCCACTCAGAACTCTTCAGGTCTCAACTTCCTCATCCACAAACATGGGAATAGTGTTATCCATGTACTAAGTGTGCTGAACAGTTAACTGTAAAGAGCTCAGGCAATGACTGGATTTCACTGCTGTCCTCACTCTCTTTCAATAACACAATGCTTGTATAATTAATGCATTTTTTTAATAACAGTACACACACAAGATATCATCGTCTGGCATAGGAGAAATACCACTCTTAATGTCTCTGTGATCCCCAGTGTGACAATTGCTGTATGGTAGTACTATACTTTTTCTGGGTTACCTGTTTAATCTGTGAGACAATGCTACAAACTGAGCAGAGGAAATTGCTCCATAAATACATCAAGAGAATGAGAAGTGTAGGTGGAGTTGTCACACAAGCAAGAAGAGACAGGCCAGAGTCATCTAGACTGGGTGCTGTATGCAGGAATATTGGCTCTGCATAGCTCCAGTCATTGGTGGTTTCCTGAAAGTAGACAATGTAGACATGAATGTGGACCTTGGGAGAGTTTATAAATAAGACAATTACCTGAGTGCAGAGACAGAGTTTGGACAATGTTATCCCCTGAGACAAATACTCTGCAGACCCACAACTCCGATGTAGATTATCGGATTTTCAGATTTTTCGGAACATTTTCAAGTTACCATAAAGCATATTGTTGGTAATTCCGGAGCCTTTGGCTTTTGTTTTGTTTTACTTAGCGTCTAGGTCCTCGTGGCTATTCTGTCAGCATGCTGGAAATGTTTGAACACGTGTGGCTCTACTCCCTCATCCATGCAGGCTCTGCGATGATCCAAGATTGTGTTCCTCTGAGGCATGAAAGCTTTGTGTTGATGTTTCAGGCTGCCCTGGATGCAGGGAGAATGTGATACCTTCAATAGCATGTGGCAGGCCATCTACTTCTTGTCCGTTCTTTCTCCCCTGCCTGGGCAAGGACCCAGAGTTAGGTTGGCAGGTGAATTCAAGAGTGGCTTTCTAGATCTGAGGCTGGCAGCAAGGTAACAGCTGTGGAGCGGTGAGGGACAGGAACAGGCCAGCGAGTTAATGGCTGCTGAGCAGGATAAATAGGAGGGTGTGGGGCTGCAAATGAGAACAACACACAGTGAAAGGCAGCAGGCAAGCAGAGCACAGACCGAGAGGTTGAGCACAAGCCAGACAGGTGATCAGCAATAATTACGAGTCAGGTTTCTATAAAGAGCTCTGACCCTTGGAATAGTATGACTGCTCAGCAAACAAAGATGCACAGG